AAAAAAAAAAAAAAAAAAAAAAGACTACAAATTGTGGTCTTGAGTCTTTGTGATTTGTGCCCATACTAACCATATTCCATGGGGTTCACAACAGGTTATTTCATAATGTTTATTTTATCATAGTTCTATAATAGATGAAATGGGCATCCAAGCAGCCTAACAAACTTTAATGATATACTCTTTCTTTACAGCTATATTTGAGTCAGCAGTTTTCTTGTATTTGAGGGCCTACATGACAGTAACTAATCAATATAGATGACAACTGAACCTTTCACATTTCAAACATTACAATTTCCCATAAGGTTTGCTTGAGACTCTTTACCCCAGCAATTTTCTCAGGGCTTTTAACACATGGATAATGTGAATTGTTAGTTTCTGAATGATGGCTTCATTGACTTCGAAGGCACAAAATGTGTAAATGCATTGGTTAGAAATCAGTCCATGGGGTGGCGCCTGTGGCTCAGTAAGGCACTAGCCCCATATACTGAGAATGGTGGGTCCCACTGGACCCAACTGCAACAAAACACTGGAGAGGTGCCCGTGGCTCAAGGACTTGGCGGAGGTAGTGGGTTCAAACCCAGCCCTGGCAAAAAACAAAATAAAACTGCAAAAAATAGCAGGGCTTTGTGTCGGGTACCTATAATCCCAAGCTACTCGGGAGGCAGAGGCAAGAGAATCGCCTAAGCCCAAGAGCTGCAGGTAGCTGTGAGCTGTGATGCCACGGCACTAAGTTAAAAAAAAAAAAAAATCATCTTTGTTTTTCTAAATGAGTTGAATTTTCCTTCTTTTTGTTTTTAGACAGAGTCTCACTATGTTACCACTGGTGGAGAGCTGTGGTATCACAGCTCACAGCAACCTCATACTCTTGGGCTTAAGCGATTCTCTTGCCTCAGCTTTCCAAGTAGCTGGGACTACAGGTGCCTACCACAATGCCAGGTTATTTTGTTGCAGTTGTCACTATTGTTTAGTCGGGTTCAATCCTGCCAGCCTCAATGTATGTGGCTGGTACCATAACCACTGTGTTACAGGTGCTGAACCTCCACTTTTTAAAAAATCTCATATTATTGAGGGTACAAATGATTAGGTTATAGAGTTTGTGTTTGTTGGGTACGATCACGCTGTCTGGGTGATGCCTGTGGCTCAGTGAGTAGGGCTCCAGCCCCATATACTGAGGATGGCAGTTTCAAGCCCATCACCGTCCGAACTGCAACAACAACCAAAAAATAGCCGGGCATTGTGGGGAGCACCTGTAGTCCCAGCTACTTTAGAGGCTGAGGCAAAAGAATCGCTAAAGCCCAGGAATTGGAGGTTGCTTTGAGCTGTGTGATGCCATGGCAGTCTACCAAGGCCAATAAAGTGTGAGACTCTGTCTCTACAAAAAAAAAAAAAAAAAAAAAAAACCCTGCTGTCACTGTGTGTGGCACCCAAGAGGTCTGCCATATATCCTTACATATGCCAATTAGGTAGAAGCACAATAAAAATTTTCATTTTCTGAGCAGATCCAATCAAAGTCCCAGAGAATTACTTAGTTCCTATGAACTACACTAGGAATTGAGCAAAAACACCTGCTCCTGGCATGCCTCGAGGCAATTATACAGGTCAGAGTTCACATCCATACAAATACTCACCAATACAATTGCAGGTGGGGAGTTCAGAACCTTTAGTTACAGACACCAGGTGGTTTGTATAGCTACTAAAGAAGTTCATGGCGTAATCATTAAATTGTTTCTGCACACTGTCAACGGAGGAAATTTCTGATATGCCAATGCCAGATGAACAGGCTTCTCTTTTGGCAGAAACCACTGTAATTCCACCTGAACAAACTACATTTATATTTCTGCGAATTTGTGCTTGGTCCAGTAAGGGTGTCTCAATACAGATACCAGGCAATGTCGGCTGACTCTGATGCATGGGTTGCTCCTTAACCTCGGGTTGCAACTGTATTTGGTCATTGCCACCCATCACAGTAGCACACTGGTTAGATGGAGAGGAAAGCTGGGCAGAAGGATGAGCTTCCTGACTGACATTCACTGCTGACTGTACCTGAGAATTACACGCTTGATCTGCTGATGCCTGCCTGTTGGATTCTGTTTGTAAATCAAATAAGGTAAGAGAATCCGATGGTTCAACCTTCACCATTTTTTGCTGTGCTGATTCAGGACGTCTCTCATACTGTATCTGAGTGACTGGAGGAAATAATTTTTTCTCTTGTGTGGTAGAATTTGTTGGTACCAGTGGTCTGCTTGTTGTGGTTATGGGAGGAATTTCTCCAAAAAGAATAGGAAAAGCAAGTGTACAAAACTGTCCATATCTTTGAAGTCTGGATCCAATCCAAATGTCATATAACAGACGATATTTATTTGACCATTTCTTCTCATTCTGCTTATGTTTTTCTTCACTACTTACAACTATGGGTATCTTTTTTCGACGCTCTCTTGATGGGGTGGACTTTGTCTTTTTCTGGCTTGTATTCTTTTGCTTTGTTGATGATGAACTATCATCCTGTACACTTGCAGGTGTTTTCTGTGGTACTATGCTCTTTTCCTCAATATATTCTTGCTGCACATCTTTACTTTCTACTTCTTTGCCCTCGGGATTTTTATCAGTTGATTTAATTATTGATGCAAGTTGTGCCAGTTGAGTTGCAACATCTTCCTCAATTTGAGTATGGGCTGCATCCTTACCGAATAGATCACCTGAGTCCAAATTTTCATTATTGTCCAGTAACTGGTTACAATCCCCCAATTTGTTAACTGGTGGCAACTGATGCAATATCTCAGAACAACTGTCATAAGTAATTTGACTTTTAGAAATGTTTTTATTGGGGTCAATCTTGGATGAACTTGTTTTTGGCATAATAAGTGATACTGAATTTGTGACTTTTGAATATGCATATGACTTCGTGGGTGCCTGGTTAGGACTAGTGGAGCTGGTATGTGAGTTGGAAACGGCATTTTGACCATTGAATATCACTATTTTATATGAACTCTGCTTTTCCAAAGATGAACTGTGATGAAGGTCTGGTGACTCTCCCTGTGTGTTTGGGTCTTGGAGGTCTTCTATAGAACTGATAGGTTGGTGGCTATTAAATAGGGTAGATGGTCTCGGCTCTGTACTTTCCCTTTTCTCTGATTTTGAGGATGAGGAATTCCCTGCCGGGGCTTCTGAGAGTTTAGTCAGAGCTTCTATGGCTACCACCTGCTCCACTGTTAATCTCCTATCTTTCATTAAGGATAAAATTCCTGCTTGAACTGGAATTCCATCTTTTGGTTCATCACTTGGCATATTCTCCAGAGACGTTGGTCGATCACCTTCATTGTGTGTACTATTTTGACTATTTGTGTTGTTGACATTTGAAGATTCAGGATTAGAATTACAGTTAAAGCCAGGCTTCTGGAAGACTAAAGCATCACTTCTCTCCTTAAGATCATCACAGCTCCCACCAGTAGCGAAAGAGCTCATGGCATTGTTATGGTTTGCAGGGTCTTTTAGGAATTTGTAGGAATTGTTTTCAAATGCCTTGCCGAATTCTTCAATGTTGAATTTCTTAAATGACATTTTTGTTTCAGGTGGTAGATAGTGTACGTTTTTAATTCCATTTCTTAGCTTTTGTGCAAACAATTTTGAAGGTTTGTTTGGTTTCTTGTCAATTGCAGAGGTTTTTGATTTTTCAGCTTCTGTCGTCACATTAGCACTGAAATCTCCTTTAATGTGGGCAGTTAAGTGTGATTTCTTACTTTGGGTCCACTTCTCCACCTCAACACCTGTCATGGTTTCTTCATTTTCAGTTACATTTTCAGGGGGTTTTGGGTTCAATTCCGATCTTTGTTCTTCCCCATGACCACATTTACTGCAGTCCATGGACTCTGATGTGGGGCCATTTACTGTTTTGTTGTCAACATCCGCCTGTAAAATAAAGACAGAAATCACTCCTATCACTTACCTAGGTAGCTAAATAAGAGCTGCAACAACTTTACAATTTAATAGCAACTGAGTATAAAGTCCCAGTGGATACAGCTGGAAACAAGTGTTTCACTTTTTACCTTTGAAGTGTTTCAAAAAGGGAGGAATAGGGAAGAAAACCAGAATCTATCATAAGCTCATCCTGTGAATACTTTGGTATATTCATTTGTTTCTCCAAATACATTTTAAAATTATTCTTACATTGATAGGATTCTCTGGGAATATCTATCATTTAATTATTTTTTAATCTATCATTTTAATGCAAACTGTATTCAACTAGAACATACACACCGAAGTGTAAAATTCGTATTGCTTACTGAACATTGACAAAATGAATATATGGTTAAAAAGATCAAGTGTGAACTCCTCTGTCTTATCACACAGACCCCAAAATGTAAACATTATTCTGATATCTAACATCATACATTTTTTGCTTATTTTCTTTTCCTTTTTTTTTTTTTTTTTGGTCAGGGCTGGGTTTGCACCTCCAGCTTGTTTCAAACCTAGGTGCTCTACCCTTGAGCCATAGGCACCACCCTATTTTTTGCTTATTTTCAAAATTTATATAAGTGACAGGTTTTTATTTAAAATTACACTTATGGCTCGGCGCCTATAGCTCAACCGACTAAGGCGCCAGCCACGTACACCTAAGGTGGCGGGTTTGAATCCCCAGCCCGGACCCGCCAAACAACAATGACGGCTGCAACCAAAAAAT